CCCCAAAACCCCAAAACCCCGCTGAGTTAAAATTAGGAGAGTAGGCTGAACTTGTTGATAATATACTAATAATTATTTAAAATTAATAATGAGTTATTAATAAGACATAGAAGATCCGATGCATTCCTCAGACGATGACTAACCTAACCGCCCTCCCCATAATATAGCAGAAGGCAGCTCCCCCCGCACAGATAAAACTAAAGTATCATCTAATAAATCCAGAGGAGGACGAAGTACCCGTAGAGGCAGGGGCAAAGGAGAAGATTCCTCAAGTGGTGAGGAGTCAAAAAGCATAGACAGGAAGTCAAGATCTCGCTCCCCTGCATATAATCAAAGAAGAGGTGGCGGAGGTGGTGCACGTCACAGTAAACGCCACCGAGGCTCCTCTGCTCAAAGTGATTCCCAAAGCAGTGATCTCAATGACGATGATAATAAGAGTTCCTCCTCTGATAACAATGAAGATCGCGACTCACTTGAGAATAAAAAGACCCATCATAGAAGCAGAGCTGATAGAGGCGGGAGCCGGGGAAAGTCTGATCGTAAAAAGTCATCAAAATAAGTTAAAATGCCATCCCTTGAAGGCCCATTTGTTCAATACAAATCCTTCATCGAAATGCAAAGGGATAGTCTAAGCAGTGAGGATGCTTAAAAATTCTATGACTAATATAAAGCTGATTATAAGCATAAATAAGCCTAAGATTTCTTTATTGCTCACAGGGACGAGTGCTGGTTCCGTGAGCAGTATGACCCCTTGTAATCGTATAAGTGGAAGCAGGAAATAATGTAATAATCTTAACTAGTATCATAAAAATTCATAGAAGAGTTCGTTGAGGGAATGTCCAGCTCAAAGGCTTAAACAATATGTCTCGATGAAGACGCAAACTTCGACTACCAAAAGTTAATTTCAACCGACTCAGATGAAGTCTCAGGTTCTCCTTTATATGGATTTGATGCTAATTTACGTACTCTCTATCTTAAACAGATTCCAGTGAGGATATCTCGTTGGGATTTACTTGAATAGCTTAGGAAAACACCTGGCTTCGTTTCATTTTCGATGAGTGAGCCTTTGAAAACTCATGATTTCGAGAGATATGCCTGGGTAAGTTATGATTCAGAGGAAAATTGCAGACATGCTAAAGAACAGTTGGATGGATTAATGATAGATAAATTCAAGCTATATCCAGTAAAGAGCTAAATTCAAAGAAAGCCAATCAGAATCACTCCACCTTTGGTAGAGGATTCTATATAAAGAGACTTTGAACTGTGCAAAAGGCTCATCTCAGAAAAATTTGACACTGAGAAAAAGATACCTTCTTCTGCTTACTCTTCTCTAATAGAAATTTGCATGTTTTTAAGCTAGACTCAATAGCTTGACTTGCTATTGCTCTATCTAAGAAAGGTGCACTCTTATTGCTTCTACTGCGGTGAAGAATATGATGATGAAAGAATGCTTGCTGCCAAATGTGGACCTCAACACATTAGAAATACCAAAAAAGTGCCAAGATACGACTATGATAACTTTTAGCAATACTTTGGAAGTAAGAGCTTTGAGGATAAATATCTGAATGCTGCTAATGAAAGACTTAAGCAGGGGGCTAAAGAACTTTAGTCACCAGATTAAGATAGTCTTTTAATCTCAATTAAGGAGCAGTATGCTTAAAAAAAGACTTAGGAAGTAACTAAAAATCAGATATATGCTTGTTTAATGTGCCAGAAGAGATTTAAGTCTCCAGAGTTTGTACAAAAGCATATCTTTAACAAGCACGCTGAAGAACTAGATGAGAAGTTCAACAAATCTATATTTGAAAAAATGCTTAAAGAAAACTACATGAATGATCCCAATAAATTTACTAGCTCTTATTATTAAACTGGCTAATCCTCACACTAAGGAGGTGGCTATGGCAGATCTGGCGATAGAAGAGGCGGAGATTAGTATAAGAGTGGGAATAGATATGGCGATCATGGAGGAAACAGATATGATCGTGGAGGCGATAGAGACGACAGGAGAAGAAAAGAGTATGTTGACTATGATGATCCATCTTAGAACGCAAAAGTTGCCAATCCTGAGAGATAGATAGTTTCATATGACGATCTGTTTTGATAGTATTTTAATTAATTTAATATAAGATTTGAGTTCTATTCATTGCATGGGGTTTTGGGGTTTTGGGGTTTTGGG